CCTCTCCTAACCACCCAGACCTTCTTAGTCCTTTTTCTACTTCAAATGTTGTCTTTTTAAAACTTACTCCTTACCTGAGATATAAATGGAAGACAGGCCTAGTAAACAAAACGTGGACCATTTACTCCCCAAAACAAAATAGGTGTCGGAAGCTAAGAAAACTGAAAATAACAGAGCAGTGTTGGAGGACTTATCCTAGTAAAATTAGAACATTTACTGAAACCCAAGACTGAAAACAGCCCCAAGAACAGGACACCTGAAGTCCGGAACTGGGAGAACACCACAGTATATATGCAGATTTAATGAAAAGATTATCACAGCCTACATGCTTAGCTGTCCCTTCCACCGGCCTGCTGGCATCGCATTTCCTCTCTGATACAATTACATTTGCATTGTTTTCTCCATGGCATTAAGGTGAGGGCTAAAAAAATATAGAGGGCAATTATAGGTGACTTTTGTGTGTTTCTGTTGTTGATGATGATGCTATTAAGATGTCTCCCATTTCCTTTCCTTTGCCCCAATCCATCCAGCCCCCTACCTCTTCCCTGGTCTTCATCACTCTCTTGTCTGTGTCCATGGGCTATGCATATATGTGCGTTGGCTAATCCCTTTGCCTTCTTTTATCCAGTCTCCCCCACCTACCTTCCCTATGGTCAATCTGTATCATATACCCATGCCTCTGGTTCTATTTTGTTAATCAGATTCCACGTATTAGTGAGATGATATGGTATTTGCCTTTTTCTGACTTATTTAATTTAGCATAATTATCTCCAGGTCTGTCCATACTATCCCAAAGGGTAAGAGGTCCTTCCTTTTTTACAGTTGCATAGTATTCCATTGTGTAAATGTACCACAGCTTTTTTATCCACTCATCTACTAATGGGCACTTGGGCTGTTTCCAGATCTTAGCAATTATAAATAACGCTGCTATGGACATAAGGGTGCATATTTTCTTTTTGATTGGTGTTTCAGGATTCTTAGGATATATTCCCAGAAGTGGGATTGCTGGGTCAAAAGGCAGTTCCATTTTAAAATTTTTGAGGAAACTCCATACTGTTTTCCACAGTGGCTGCACCATTCTATATATGGGTGACTTTTTAAACTTTCTTATTTATACTCTTCTGTAGTCTCCAAATTTTCTGCATAAAATGTATTGCTTTCAAAATCAAAACAACCAATAAATACCACAAATTTAAGCATATTCCCTTTTAGTAATGGCAAGCAATACCATTTCCTATTGACATAATTTCCTATTGTCATAAATAATTGCTTTATGACAAAAAGGATCAATGGAACACTAATTTGAGAAATAGGCATAATTTATATAGCATTCATTCAAGCTTTTGTTTTTTTAAAATATATTTTATTGATATTTTTACAGAGAGGAAGGGAGAGGGATAGAGAGTTAGAAACATCGATGAGAGAGAAACATCTATCAGCTGCCTCCTGCACACCACCCCCTGGGGATGTGCCCACAACCAAGGTACATGCCCTTGACCGGAATTGAACTCAGGACCCTTCAGTCTGCAAGCCGACACTCTATCCACTGAGCCAAACCAGTGAGTGCTCATCAAGCTTTTAAATGGATATTTATTTCCATTTTTGCAGATGAGGACATAGCTTCATCTGCTGTCTACTACCTCTTCAGTTAGGATGTGTGTCAATCTAAGACATTAATCAAGGCTCACATATGTCGAGTGTTTACTCTGTTGGGAGCACTGCATGGACAGCTTCCTCCCAAGAACTCCTTGAGGCAGGTAAAATTGTTGTCTCCCAGGAAGTAGCTAAGATTACCCCTATTTTACAGATGAAAAACATTCAGTTGATGCCAGGGCTGACCAGCAGACCCTGAGTGAAGAATGAATGGATTACTCCAACATGTTTGCTGTGAAAGAGAGGGCTAAGGGACTGCCTGGCTAAAGGAACCAGGCAGCCTTGATTGCCTGCCTCATTAGGCTTTTATTGTAACAGCAGTTTGAGATAAAGTTTATCTTAAGAGACAATCAGTAGGGTAAGTAATCTTGGGAGAACACACGTTTGTAGTATTCTTTAAGCAAGGACACCCAAAGATTTAAGCATAAGGATTCCAGTAAACACCTGGGGGTCTGCACATGCACAGACTTGTTTGGATAGGTCATTCAGCATTCTCCTAAGTCAGAATTCTGATAAACAGGGCAGGTGGCCTTTGGCGCACTTCGCTTTTCTCAGAATGACCTCCTTACAAACTTTCCAACCAAGTCTTGTGTGCTCCCCAACAAGTTGAATGAATGAAAGTTAAGTGATTTAACTTTCATTCATTCAACAAACAGTAAGGACCCATTGCATCCCAAATTCTACTCTAGGCACTGAGGGCTCAGCAGTGAACAAGGCAAACAACACGGTCCTTGCCTTCATGGAACTTCTATTCCGAGACGTGTAAGGTGGCAGATAGCAAATGCATGAACCAGATCACCGCAGACACTGAAAACACTGTAGGGAAATACTAGTAAAGCAGGGTGGTGTGATGGAAGATAGTGGAAGTTAGATGGGGTGCTCAGGGAAGTGACAATTTGAGCTTAAGTCTGACTGATAAGAAACCAGTATGTAGAAATTTGGATACAGAACATTCCAGGCTATGGGTAGAATGACTGCCAAGGGCCTAAGGCAGGAACTAGCAAGGCCGGATTATGGAGCATAAACAGTAATAGTGCAGCTGCAGGGAAGGGACAGGGCAGGACAGAATGGAGCAGAGGTCAGGGAGGTGAGGCAGGTCACAATACAGGGCCTGGTAAGCCATGGTCAGCAGTGGGTTTTATTTCATGTGCCACCTAGGGAAGGGTGGAGCCTGGTCTGAATGCAGACCTATCTCCGGCCATGTGCAGGGGCCACTGCTCTGAGGCCTTCCTCATGGGCTTTCTGCAGTGGGTTTCCTGGGACCTGACATCTCTGGCCTGTCCTATCATGATAGCTTCTTTGGCCACGATTTTAGATTTGTTATTGTTCTTCCAGTTGGCCTGTTCCTCTCCTGGTGGCGGCCATATTATAGCAGAGGAGGCACATGCAAGGGTGACCCACTGTCACTCAGCTACCCCTTCAAATACCATGTGATGAGTGCTGTGAGCCCACAGACCAGGACAGGGGGACCCTAGTCTGTAGGGTTCGGGAGAGCTTCTCTGAGGAAGTGACATTTCCACAACACCCTGCAGGAGGGGGGGGGGGGAGCTAGTCAGGAGATGAGTAGTCCAGGAGGACCAGGCAGCCTGCGTGGAGCCAGGGCCAGGGTGTCTTGGAGGCTGCATAGTGTCTTACCATTCATGTCCTCCCAGGAACCTCAGAATGTGACCTCACTTGGAAATAGGGTCATTGTAGATGTAATTAAATTAAGATGAAGTCATACTGGAGTAAGTAGGCCCTTAGTGCAATATGACTGTTGTCCTTATAAGAAGAGACACAGAGATAGAGACACACAAGGAGAAAGCCAGGTGACAATGGAGGCAGATACTGGAGCGATATGTCTCCAAGCCAAGGGATGCCAAAGGTTACCGGCCGCCACCAGAAGCTGGGTGAGAGGTGTGGAACAGATTCTCCCTGAGCCGCCAGTGAGAACCAACTGTGACCTCACCTTGATTTTGCACGTCTATCTAGCCAATAAATTTCTGTTGTATAAGACCATCCACGTTGTGGTACTTGGTGACAGCAGCCCTAGGGAACTAATAAACAAATACACAGCCCAAGATAGGGCTGGAGAGGCAGGCGGGCCTGGTGGGCCCTCAGGAGATTCTGGATTTTACCCCAAGAGCAACGGGAACCGCTACTCTTAGGGCCCTGGCTGGTGTTTTCAGTGGTTAGAGCATCTGTCTGTGCACAGAAGGGTCACAGGTTCAATTCCTGGTCAAGGAGGAGGCAACCAACCAACCAGTGAGGATTAACCAAAAAACAAAACAAAACACAAAACAAACACCACAGAACACCATGAGCAAATGTGCATTTTCAAAGGATTCCTCTGGCCCAACATTCTCAAGCATGGAGTCAGGCCTCACAATATTGGCCCAGGCCACCGTTCCGATGCCATGGCCATCACTCACAAGGAACCAGGTGATTCTGTGTCCTCCCTCTCCCTCAAGGGGCCGCCTTCCCAATTCTCACCTCTGCCTGCAGGTACCCACCAGAGAACAAGTGTAAACTGATGCCCTTCTGGAGACGGGTTTGGCAATATGCATAAAAAGCCTTTAAAAAAAGTGTCCATATCCTTTGACAGGGCAAGTCGACCTCTTGGACATAACTAGACAAATATTTGAAAATGTTTCAAGGACCAGGAAAGGTCCAGCCCATCACCAGGGCGCTTCTCAAGGTGCACCCGCCTGCACATGGTGGAAATGCATCTGCCACTAGCTTAACGGACAGTCGTTAGAAGGAACTGCCGCCCGGGAAAGGATTCTATAAACGCTGCCGCTCGCTCGGGTACATTCCTGGGGCCATCCCTCCTTTCTCTGTCCCCGCGTCCCCCGCATTGCCTCTGTACCCCTCTCCTCCGTAGTGGCTTTGCGCCCTCGGGATGGGGCTCGCTCGGCTCCGTCGCACCCTGCAGGGCCCAGGGACCTGCCCTTTGTGTGCGCGCCAGCCGCCCGCATCTGCACCACTCACGGGCCCCAGCGGGCCGGGCGTGGGAGGAAACCAGAAAACGCGGGATACTGGCTGGTCTCCGGGTGCAGCGGCCCGGCTCCGGCACTACCCCGGGGTTCCGGGGACGGCCCTTCCCAGGCGCCCGACGGCGACCCCGCGCCACCACCGAGAGGCCAGCGTTCCTAGAGCGGCCGCGGGCGGCCAGGTGCGGCGCCGGCCTCGGGCCTCCGGCTCCGGCCGCCAGGGGGCAGCACGGCCCGGCGGCCCCACGTGGCGCGGGCGCCCCCAGCGAGGCCGGAGCAGGCGGCGGGGCCAGGGTGCGCGCGGCAGGGTCCGCCGGTTGGCGAGCGGAGGCTCGGGACGAGGAATTCAAATAATTCAAGTCATTAGAAATCAAATTTACAAACTACACATACATTTATTTAAAATATAAATCTATTAAAAATATGTAGCGGTTTTTAGTAACCCCAGCCCCCGTCGTCCCGCCGCGTCGCCTCCAGCGCCCCTGCGGTACAGACACTGCACGTCCTCATTGCACAGGCGCTCGCTCGGGCCCAGACGGAGGGTGCACGGAGTCTCAGGCAGGAAAAGATGGAGCCAGGAGGTCGACGAGGGAGGCTGAGGACAGGACAGGGCTGTCCCCGTGGGGACCTGGCTCGGCGGGACTTCCAGGGACCTCTTCAAGGCGTTGGGAACCTGGGATTGGGAGAGGCCGCTTCCTGGGGGTCCCGGCGCCTCAATGTTGTGCCGTGTGTGTGTGTGTGTGTGTGTGTGTGTGTGTGTGTGTGTGTGTGTGCCGCTGCTGTAGAGAGCAGGAGCTCACAGCAGAGCGAGGCGACTTAAACCGAGAGAAAGCCTGTGCAAACAGACCAGTGACTGCGTGACAGCTCACGGCCAGCAGAGGAAGAGTGGGAGGGCGCTGGGTGCCAGGGAGATGCCAACGGCTCCATGTCCCTGCAGTCTAGCTCTGCTGCCTGCCCCTGACTCCTTCTCAGGGGGCTGGGTGACCTTCCTTCAAAGGCCCAGCAGCCCAGAGGACTTCTGTCATCGCCGGAAGCACCCTGCGACTGTGGTAAGAGGATTTGGTAGCGATGGGGGCTCTACCTAATATCAGAGGAAATAATGCAAGACGTGTTCATTGTATCTTTTAAAGGTTTTGGATTACCTTTAATGAAGAAAGTTATCTGCATCCCAACAGGACAGATTTAAGATTTTACCTGTGTTTTTTCCTGCACTGTTATATGTGGCTTCTGTGCCCATTTTTTAACTTTTATGGAGTGCCTTGCAGGGCCAGACCCAGGAGCAAGCAGGGAAACAGCAGCCTGTCCTTGGGAACATTGAGCACACATGCCACTGGGTGTGCCCGCTGAGCCCAGGGCAGCAGGGAGGGAGACTCAGAGCTGCCTGCAGCCAGGCTGTGGGGCCCAGGGTCCTGTAGGGCTGAAACTTGCATCTGAATCTTCCCTTGCCTTCAGTGTAGGCGTTTGCTGCAAAAATAACTTTGGGGATCCTTGTAGCTTCTGACAGGGCTTTTCTGGACATCTGTGCTGCTATTTCCCATGCCTTCCAGGGATTCTTGGTGGGTGTCAGCTCGCTAGATTCCTGGATGAGGTTATAGGGACTCCGCACTGTCTGCTGAGACCATCTGCTCAGTAGAGATTATAGAGTAGAAATGCAGGTATACCCTTGAAGGAAGAAATAAACTTAAGAAATCCTGTGTCCTAGCAAAGAATTAAGTAAGCATGGCATGTGTCACTGGATAAATTAAACATATGGAGTTTGGCTTGAGACTGGGAAAGGTTAAAGCAAGGGAGAAGGGTGGGCAGGATTTGCCCAGGGCAGGGTTTGAAGCAGCTTCCTCCTCTGAGACCCCTCAGAGCAGCCTCCAGGCCCCAGAGAGGGCCAAGCAGGTGGGTTTGGCTCCCACTCACTCCAATTCCAGCTCCTCTGCCTCCAATTATTTTACATATGTAGCTTCTGAAAATGGTTCTATTTAAACAAGGGATTCTGAGGCTAAAAACAACAGCTTGAAAACACACATAACGTGGGAACAACTTTAATAATCTGAACAATAAAGATTTAATTAAAAAAAGAATTTTAAAAAAGAATGTAATAAAAATTTATACACTTTAAACTGAAAAAAACACTACCACACATAATGCCCAGAAAAGTTGGCCAACATTATAAACCTGATAAAGATTGTGTCCTGAATCTGAAAAATATGTGAGGTGTGGAGATGGTTAAAAGTTCTCAAATTGGTTGGGAAATAAAATGATTTTTTTCTGTTACATTAATGGATAAGAATTGATACCTTCTCTTGGAGAAATAAGGGATCATTCAATTCTAAGATTAGTTTTTATTGTTTGGAACTCAGAAATCCCTTTAACGTGACCAAAAAAACAACCTACCAATGGCCTTTTTATTGGGAGGGGGGTTAAATTAATTCTGTTATGCGATTATTACCTGACTTAATCTTTTTGGTAAAATGAACACCCCAGCAAGTTTGTATGCAGTTTATGTTGTTCCAAGATTGAAGAACTGGCAGAGATTTGGGCAAGAAAAACTTGTCTATTTCTTCTCACTATGTCTACTGTTTGCATCAAATATATTGGCGATTGGTATGATTGGGTCTGGATATTGACTGGCTTTTTTAGTGGTACTCTGAAATGTTTGAGATTTAATTTTTTCTAGCTTTATTTCAAAATGTATCATAACCTTTGGCTTGGTAAGGCATCAATACTTCAAGATAAACAAAGGAAACCACTGAGTTAAAATGGGAAAGGAATAATACGTTTAGTGGGACATTTGTTATTAAACTGCTCAGGGGGTAACTATGCCAACCAACTTACGGCTTTTACTTTTGGACAAAATTAATATGACATTCAGTGATGACCATCCATGCAATGAAGATAATAGAGACATAATTTTTTTATCTTAGAACTTAGAATTTGCATAAATAATTTACCTGCAGAAAATTTGATCATGGAATCTTGTGGTTCTTGGATCAAACCTTCAGTAGGAGAATGAATGGTAAATGTCACATTTCATAACCTGTTTAATTTACTTAATTGAATTTAGCTTAAATCCAATCAATTTCAATCCTTGGAGGGCATAACTTTAGTATTTGTGTATCCTGAAAATAAAGAACTGATTGAATATGGTCCTTTTAAAGGTTGTATACTTATTAGACTATACTGATCCTAGAAGGAAACAGTTTGTTATCCTGAAATTCATTATTTAAATAACATTACTTGTGAGGGTAATTTTCACTGGTACATTTTGTCATTAAAATTCAACTTTCTATTACCCTAGTTAAGAGACAGTTGTGGTACTTCTATCTTGCAGTTTGAGTTAGTTTGAGAATTTGGCCATTATTTTATAAAGAGAAGCAGTGCATTTCATTCATGTAATAGTAGGGGAAGGAATGGTGAGAACCCCAAGAGGTAGTATAAGCCCAAAAGATTAGACTCAGGGTGTGAGTGCTATTTTATTAGGTTATGGGTGCATTTTCCTTATACTCTACTTCACTCAACTCCTTCTCTGAGGGCTAAACAAATGGCTTCTTAGGTCCCAACATCAGAGACAGACACAAAAAGGGAGCCTTTGCCTTGATAGATAGCCTCTTCCCAAAGTTCCTCCGGAAGAGAGAGGATCAGTTTAAAATGGGGGCCAGCTTGGCATCCAGACACATCCATTCTATCCTGGTTAGGTGAGCTGGATCCCAGTCCCAGTGTTGCTGGACTGGCCAGCCAGCGAGCTACCTTTCAGCCAGGTCTGGCAGTTACACAGGACAGGCAGAGCTGCCAATCAGAGAGAAATAGTACTGTTTTGCCTTTTTATTAAAGATCCATGTTGAAATTGGGAGGCAGTATATAACAGCAATTAACAGCACATACAGTGGGGCCTTGACTTACGAGTTTAATTCGTTCCGTGACGGAGCTCGTAACTCAAATTACTCGTATGTCAAATCAAGAAGTGAACGAGTGAGACACATGATGCTGGGCTGATGTGTGGCGTTCACTGTGACGTTCGCTGCGCCAACTAGCGGTGGGGTATCTGAAGCTGGCTCGTAACCCGAATTTTAGCTCGCAACTCAAAGCAAAAAATCGGCTGAGAGACAGCTCGTATCTCGAAAAACTCGTTAGTTGGGACACTCGTAAGTCAAGGCCCCACTGTACTTAGGTTTAAATTCTGGCCATGTGGCCTTGGGCTAATTGCTTAATCTCTCTGAACTTCATCTGTAAAAGGGGATATGAATATGAGTTCACAGGTTGTCACAAGATAAAACAAGACAGCATTAACTCAGTACAGTTCCTGGAACATGGTAAGAATCAGTGATTATTATTATCCCTAACAAACTCGAGGGTAGGGTCTGACTGCTTCCTGGAAGTTTTCATGTGAGGCCACTATCAGTACTACTTGATTTCATTTTTCTTTCCTCTTTCTTCCTTCTTTCTTTTCTTTTTTATTTTCCTCTTCCTTTCTTTCCTCCCTCCCTCCCTCCCTCTCTCCCTCCCTTTCTCTCTTTTTCTTCTTACTTCCTTTCTCTCCCCCCACCCCTTTCCCTCTCTCCCTTTTTAAAAAAATTCTTTTAGGCTGGAGTTACCCTTTGTAGAAAATAGAAATAAAAAGGTTAGATTCTATTATGTTTTAACAAAAAATACTCGTTTCAAGGAACCTAACTAGAACTAGAAAATGCAGAATCGATTCTTAAATTTAAATCTAGAGATTCCCACTATGCCTGGGAAGCAGCAAGAGGCCTCAGCACCAAAACACTTTCCAAGAAGCTGGAGGATAGGCCTTGGCCTGATTCACCGTTGCCCTGGCAACAGTAGGGCCCAGAGGCCTCTGGCCCTGATCCCTTAATCTGAAGAGCCTACCACATTGCCTCAGGAAAGGTCCCCACAGACACCTGGCTAGTTAAAGCTACCCTAACAGGAGGGACAGAGAAAAGATGGAGGTGTGGCTCTTTCTGCCTACAGGTCTCCATGATGGTCTCGGCTCTCCAGACTCCCAAAGGCTGAGTCTAGAGAATTAGGCCACAGAGTCTACATCAGGCTCTCAGTGTGGTCATGGCAGTGGATGGCTTCCTGATCCTTTGTTTCTCCATGAAGCTCAGCACAACACTTTGCACACATATATTAATAAAAATGGGGGCTGTGTGACAGTGCGCATCCCTGAGGGGCCAGGCCCTGCTCCATCTGCTGACCTCCGTGAATGACCAAGCCAGCACAGGCAACCTGCTCCTCTTTGTCTCAACTTCTCCAGTTGGAAAACCATAGGCTGGACACCAAGGCCATTTTTGCCTCTAAAAGTTTTATTTTCTTACTACATTCATAATTTTGACAAACATATGGCACAGAGCATGTTCTGCTTGATATGTTGTTTTCCTTCGTTTTGTCTAAGAATAAAATGGAATTTGAAAGAGGCGCCGGCTTTCCTTTTTTTAATAATCTTTCAGGTCCCAGGGAAAGAACTTTGTGGCCAAGCACATGGACTTCAGAGTAAGACACAGATTCAAATCCTGGCTCTACCATTTGATTGCTGTGTGACTTTGGGCCTATTTAATCTCTCTGAACCTCAAGCTCCTCGCCTATGAAACGAGTCAAATGATGCATACAGAATTATGCATTGTTTAGAAGGCAGTCTTCTAAAGTAACATGTGCTCAATAAGTGGCAATTATTCTTTCTGGTACAGAACCCCATGGGGCCAGTGGCAATTTAGGAGTTTTAAAGTCTGGCTTTCGAATTAAATTAAGGGCACTCTTGGGAAGCACTAAGAAAGAGTACCCGATACCCAGCAAGGAGGGTATTACCCACTGCAAACTCTGACGAGTGGCTGCAAGGTGAGCTGAACGCCCCCCTCCCCGCCCCCACCAACTATGACATCATGACCCAGTGTAGTTGCCTATGTGGTTTGATTTGAACTTCCTCACATGAAAATAATTTTCCGCTTCTGCTTGCTGGGGAAATTTCCTTTTCAGAGATTCATTCTTTTACAATACACTGTCAGTCCACCACCTACGTGAACTTCTGTTTTAACGAAATTAAACTGGCATTATTAGCTAGAAGCTCATAATGCAATTTTAGCTTCTAGACAACTTCTATCAAAACTTTAGGCCCAAACCGGTTTGGCTTAGTGGATAGAGCGTCGGACTGTGGACTCAAGGGTCCCGGGTTCGATTCCGGTCAAGGGCATGTACCTTGGTTGCGGGCATATCCCCAGTAGGGGGTGTGCAGGAGGCAGCTGATCGATGTTTCTCTCTCATCGATGTTTCTAACTCTCTATCCCTCTCCTTTCCTCTCTGTAAAAATCAATAAAATATATTAAAAAAAAAACTTTAGTAGGTGCCAATGCCTTTGTTATGTATTTATTCTTTATGTTATTTAAGCCTCAGAACAATAGGAACTTTGTTATCCCCCTGAACAGATGTGGAAGTTGGTTTTCTGTTAGTTTGTGCAAGTTCACACAACTAAATTGAAATCTACATCTGCTTGACCCCAGAGGCTGTCCACACTTTAGCGACCATCTCTGTAGATGTTGGCCTCGGACCACTATGGAACTTATGCCAGGTGGAAAGTGAGAATCATGATGGTATCAAGGTGTCAGGATGAGGAGAGGGACGACTGGAGTACAGGGTGCTGGATGCGTAGAAGGAAGAGGCCTGAAGAGGGGGTTAAAGCCCAGGAAAGGGAGATAGGGACACAGAGATCCCCTGACAGCCCAGCTCCACATAAGAAGTACCAGTCTTTGACTATACTGAATCTTTTTCACCAGATGCCTAGAAAAAGAAAGCTTGTTAGCACCATTCTTGGTAAATGCATAACAAATGAAGTTACTCTCTGAGTTCCTACCCTGGATTTCATCCCAAAACATCATCTTTCACTTGAGTCAGAATGTTTCCAGCACTCTTTGGTCCTCAAATTCCAGGACTAGTCAAGATTTGGAGCAGCAATGGCCCTCCACTAAATATTTCCAAAAAATCTCTGCTAACACCTCTTCAAGGCTTCCAATACGGTGGTGTTCAAAAGAGCCATTTCCTCAGCCATCCTTTAACATCATCATGACCCATCCATTGAATACAGTTGGTTCTCCCATGTCTATGGTAGGATTCCTTCTCCAGGTTCAGTCTTTTGCCATCTATTTGCATCAATGTTCTCTCCTGCTCAGCAGTCTTCAGTGATTTCTCATAAAAGGTCAAATTCAAACTCCAGTCTTGAAGTCTGAGATCCCTCTGCACCCCAGGTCTACTCCAAGCCAACCTTGTTGACCCTGTTTTCTTTCCACAAGTTCTCTCCCCAATCAATCACTGTTCTCTCATCAATTACAGCCCACTTTCCACACTTCCGAATACCCCCACCCAAAGGCCTTCCTCATTTTCCTCATTTATGGAATTCTCCCAGCCCACAGATCCACCTCCACGGAGAAGCTGTCCTGACTTCTCCAGCTCCTGTGGTCAGTAGAACACTGTGTGCTTGGCACTGTTTCCTGCATATAAGTCCCTGCTTCTGGATGTGACTCCTCTCCAGCTGGTTCTGGAGATCCGGATTAAGACTGGCCACCTCTCCAGCTCTTTGTGCCAATCCAGCCTCTGCCCCTGCTCTGGCTGCCTGCCCTGATGTCCTACCATCCTTTTACAAATTTGCAGTGTAAACAGAGAAGTCATATCCTTTCAAGTATCAGCTTTTGGGCGTCACTTCCCCTTTCCATGCTTTATGCATCTTTACAAGGAAAGGAGGTGGGTTGACTGCTATGGTCCTTTCAGACAATAGTGTAGCATCTCCTCCCTCTAATTCTCCTGTGTGTTAGCCCCCCTCCCCACTCCCAGACTCACGACTTAGTCTGCCTACTTCTTGTCTCTCAGGTCAGTCTCTCTGCCTTCAGCAAAGTCTGGCCTCCCCAGTTCTCATGGAGTGGGGCACTCCATTGGCCTCCATATTACCTGAATTCTCTCTGGGTCACTGCCAAACCCAGGAGCAGAATGAGTCATTTGCTCTGTGGGCAATGGAACATGCCTGCATTTTCTCTAGGCCTCGCTGGATGGCAATTGATAATGAATATCTAGTGAAACCAGGGTGCATTCATGCATGTAACAAATCTAGAGAGTAGTTTTAGGGCAACATACAAACAAAATTAAAAAAAGTCCAGAATGGTGTCTTCTTTTATGGTTTCCCCTAAGACTGGCCCCAGGGGCCTCTGCACCCCTTCCCTATGCCTCCCTGCCACCAGCCACACCACCCTCCAGCCACATTCCAAGCTCAGCAGGCTGCTTGGTCCTGAGGGAAGCACCCAGCTTTTGCTGCAGGACCAATCTTTCCAGGCCATGCTAGACCTGTCACTCTTCCTGCCTCCCCCTGAACTCCCACTTGTCCGCCAACATCAGGGCGCCAGGAGCTTCTACACTTCCACAGGCCCATTCACTGTTTCAAGCTCCTTAGCCCCGTCTCTCTTCGATTTTATAATCAGTGGGATCTGCATCCCCTTCACCATCCAACATAGGGAATAAGCACATAAAAGGGACTCAAGAAAACCTGTCAACTGACACTAGGCACATGATGTCCCTTGGCCACCTTCTCAACCCCTCCCCTTCAAAACCAAACAAAAACGGCAAACAGGAAACACTCATCTTTTAAAAAATTACTCTATTATTATCAAATAGAACCACAGTATCCAAAAGGTAATTATAAAGTTCTATCCCCAAACTAAGTGCCCTTGCACCGCCCCTCCCAGTGGCAGGCGGCCAAATCACTCCCCCCGTGCTGATTGGTTTCATCCATTTTATTGTCAAGGAAATTAACAGCCCGAAGGGGTTCCCCCAGGTCCAAGCTCTCCCCACCCCTGGAGCCCCGGTAAACACGGCAGCAAGCGACCTGGTCTCAGGACCCCTGTGTCCTTGGGAGGAGGGATGAAAGGAGAGGGGAGCTCACAGCAAAGGGGCTGGGGGCTTAGGGGGGTGCCCTGCCCGCTGGGTTCAGGCCTCTGGGCAGGCAGGCTGGGCAGCGGCTC